TGAGTTTTGAACAAGAAAAACCCAATATATAAAACATATCCACAAACACAAAATTTTTGGAATGACAGCAAGCCTGGGACCTTGCCATCTGGCTTCATCCGTCTCCTACAAAATGAGGGCATAGCATCTGGAACTGTTTGAAAACCACTTTGCTGTGTACCATGTTCTTTGAAATTGTCAGCTTATGCAAGACTTCATATGGAAATGCTCAGCAAATTGGAATAGTACTCGCTTCTCACAAACGTGTCTCCCAGTGTCATGTTGGTTTAACTGTGAGAGGACTCATTACCTCTCGCTCCGAGAAGGGAGGGGAAAGCATCTGGGGCCACAGTGACCTAAACTGACGTGGAAGTCAGCATCCCCCCTTCACCCTGTAAATAGCCGAGTAGGCTCATAGCTCCATTAGCATGTCCGTCTTTCCCTTGACTCAAAATAGCTGGGTATCTATAATGATTTGCCAATTCTCTTCTTGAACTAAATAAAAAGTCCTTGCATTCTTAAACTAACTAATCTATACACCACCACATCATTTCAGGCTTACTTGTTAAATGGAGAAAATGAAACAGTTTTAAAATTTTTTTCCTGGCTCCCCCCAGAATGCAGTGTATGGGGGGGCACTTTTAAAATATCATATGTATTACTTTGATCCATAAGGGCTCCTTCTAACCAAAACTGATTAGACAGTAATCAGACGCAGGTGCACAGCACTGCTTTGGAAGATAAAGCACTTGTATTTCTATGTGTTTTAAATGTGGCAGGTTCAGGATGTCGATGACTGTGTGCACACCATACTTCACTTGGCACTACAAGAAAATGCGGATTAGAAAATAAAATGATATTCATTTTTGGTATTTTGAGACAGGCCCTCGCTCTGTAGCTCAAGCTGGCCTTGAATTTGTGATCCCCTCGCCTTAACTCCTAAGTATTGAGATTTTTAAGTATTCACCACCACAATCAGCTCAAAAGTTTTGAAGTCAGGTGGTAATGGCGCACGCTTTTAATCTCAGCACCTGGGAGGCAGTGGTAAGTGGATCTCTGTGAGTTCCACACCAGCCTGGTCTACAAAGTGAGTTCCAGGACAGTCAGAGTGGTTACACAGAGAAACCCTATCACGAAAAAAGCAAACAAACAAAATATAACGCGCTTTGGCTCTCCAGGCATGGTGATACGTGCCTTTAATCCCAGCACTTGGGAGGCAGCGACAGTTGGATCTTAGATCTCTATGAGTAAAATACAGGGGTGATAATTATTAATCTATAAGAAAACAAAACTGACCAAAGAGTAAGAAAATATAACACTGAGTAACCATGTCTTTTACCTTTTCTGTGTGAGAAGTTGAATGCTTTTCTGTCATTCTGCCTCCAACTAACCCTAAAGATGGCTATAGGTGTCTGCAGCAGAAAGGTCTCTTAAGAGGCTGTAATACTGGTCCGCACATGAATGACACCTGCACACTTGGCCACATTTGACCTAAAAATAAACTGTGAACATAGCACTGCCACTCAGTGACAGTCATCAGTTACAGAAAATAAAGCTAAGCTAATTTCTTCCAAATTTATTAAGTAAGTGTCTCATCCCAGATCCCCCAGCCCCAAACCAATACAAGGTCTCACTATGTAGATCTGGCTGGCCTGGAACTCACTATGTAGACAAAGCTATCTTTGGACTCAGAGATTTACCGGAGGTAAAATCTTGACTCCTCGGGGCTGGGACTAAAGGCATGTGGTACCATGCCTATTTTAAATAAGTTTTTAGAAAACACAAACAGATGCTATTTACTACCATTTATTAATTCCATCTTCACTGAGTTTGAAGTGGGGACAACATCTTACACCCAATATTTTGGGCAATTCATAATGTTTCCAGTTTGAATTTCATAGAAGTCATAATCCACTAGGAATTCTGATTAATCACTTGCATAAACCTCCTCTGAAGTTTGACATTTTATACTGTGATGATCAAACTTCCTAAGCTTTGCTTTCTCTGTATATAAAATGATAATTGACTTACCACATTGCCAGGCGGATTAAGCATGTGATATTTAGGGTTTCCATTGCTATGACAAAATATTGGCTTACTGTTTCAGAGGTTATAGTCCACACAGTGTCCTGGTTGCATTGTTTTTGGAACTGTGGTAAGGTAGACAAGCCCATGGAAGGATGGGGTGGAAGAAATGTTCTCACCAGTAGAAATTGTGAAGGGACACAGAAAAGGTGGACCATGGTCCCAACATCCCTTTCAATGGTACACCCCTATGGCTACAGGCTGGCCACCAAGCCTTTGAATAACAGCCAGCAGGGGACATTAGTTTAAGGTCTACAGCATCACATCCTAACTGCCGGCATTCTAAATCTGGACTTCAGTGCAGAGACTATTGCTGTGTCTAACTAGCCAGCCTCTCCCACCTTCTGTAAGGGCCAACCATAGCACTGTAGAGGCAATTAGGAGAAGTACGTGTAGGACCTCACAAAGAAACGTGGGCAGGACCTGACAACCCCCATTTATTTTTTCATGTTTTACAGCAGGCCTAATTATGTAGTCCAGGCTGGCCATTAATTTGAGGCAATTCTCTCTCAGCCTCCTAAGTCTTGAAAATTATAGGTCAGCCCCCCCATGCCTTTACCATTTCATTTAATCATTAGACCACCTCCTCCATTTAAAAGAAAAAAAACTTACAAACTCAGACAAACTGCTTGATTTTGTACCATCTCTTCAACTCTATGGAGTTTTCAAAACTGCTGTGACCAGATCACTGGGTAAAGGAAACAGCTTCAGAATAGCTGTAGACATCTGAAAGAGAAGGGTCAGATTAATTGGGACTGACCAGATTTTCAGTCAGCAGCAGGTAGGTATGCAAGGTCCGGAACAAATCTTTAGTGTGAGGCTGGGCTGGATTTCAGAAGTTCCTAAAAATGGTGTTTCTTTGTAGCTCTACAAGACAGAACAGGATCTTCTGGTCAAAACACACCTTAACACTTCTCAAAAACCTCCCCAGTTCCTAAACCTGCCCAATGGCTATAGCTAGGGGACACGGAAGATTAAAAGGTAAGAAGAAAGTAAAGCAAGAAAACAAAGAAGTTGTACATGAAAATTTGGTGGGCCAGGACTGTAATCTCAGCACCTCGGGAGGTAAGGCAAAAGGATGGAGAGTTAAAATTCCGGTTTGCCTGGCCACAGAGTACGTTCCAGACCAGTTCAGGGGAGGGGGAAGGGGAGAAGAAAAGGGAATCCTTAGTTCTAGTTGCTTCTATGATCTTAGAACAAAACTGAATATTCTAAGGAAAAAATAAAGGAAATCACACACAGTGTGCACACACACGTGCACACACGAGCACACACAGTTCTTTAGAACATACAATGAGCTAGGCCTAAGGTACTGGTGAATCAAATGTACTTTTCACAGATCTACCCTCTTCCCCAGCCTCCAGCTTCCTTCTGAAAAGGCACGGTCTCCTTTCCTAAGACAGCCAACCTGTAGAACAAAGCCCATGCCTCACTCCCAGCTTGACTTCAGCTAGAATCATTCAGCTCACCATGGTTACATTCCTTCCACACCTAATTAAAGGATTTCCTTTGAGCAAGGGCATAGAGTGTGAAAGTAACAGCAATTGGTAGATTAGAGCCAACACGAACTCGATAGGCTTAATTAAGGTAAACGAACCAGCTACCTCTGGCTCAGCCCATCCTTTTAGTACATGAACCATCATCGTCGTCTTAGGGTTTTTGAACACTGGTTATGGTTAGGTTTCTACTTGGTAATAGCTGATCCAGATGCAGGTCCATCACTGCCATCTTCTTCTTAACTGCCAGTCTTCATCCAGAAATAGTGACTGCTGTGGTCAGAAGTGAGTCCATCCCAAAACTGAGGAATCCGGATGAAACTATCTTCAAATCATCAGTTCAAAATATCCAGACAAATATCACAGAGAGCCAAGAAAGGACATCTAGCTAAAGCTTACTAGGAAAAGGTTGGGAAGTCAGCATTTCTATTAAACACACGAAAGAAGCTCCACACTGCCTCTGATGACTTATCTCAAACATATGAGTAGAACTTCACAAACTATTTAGATCTAGCATACTTCGTCTGTTCTAGTTAACATCTAAAATCCATTATACCATTCCAGGCTATGGTGGCACAGGCCTTTATTCCCAGCGCTTGGGAGGCAATGGCACACTGATCTCTGAGTTTGAAGTCAGCCTGGTCTATAAAGTGAGTTTCAGGACAGCCAAGGCTACACAGAGAAACTTGGTCTCAAACAAAACCAAACCATTATGCTTTATCAAAATCAAAAGAACTAAAAGAAAAAAAACATAAATTTGGAAGCTGAAGAATACAGGTTGCTACCATGAAGTATTTATTATGTGTATTTAACTCCATGGACCTTGCAGGGATCATATATACCCAATTTTACATATAAATTTAGGTGAAAATATTTCACAATTGTTAAAGAGAAATCTATTTCTTCCTAGTCGATCATTTCTGCAATTTGTTTTTTTTTTATTTCTCAAAAGCTAAAAAGATAAACATAAAAATTAGTTCATATACTTAAAAAGCCTGACTAAAGAGGACCTCAGTACTTACTACTACTGGGAGAAGGGAAATTATCCTTTATGACTTCTACATCCATAGATATAAAACTCTCACAATGACTAAACCGAACACATGGGAGAGAAGAGATTCTCAAAATTCTCTGTTAAATTGTACCTAGCTGGGAATGTATTGGATAAACAGTAAACACGGCAACTGGCAAAACCTCTTCCCACCAGTAGTCAACTGATCATAAAATTAAGTCTCAAATCTCAGACTAAGAAAACTTTAAAAGTCTCAATGTACAGTTATTGTTTTTTCTATGAAGTATTGCTTTAATTCAACCATATTAGTAATGTTTGGCCTGTACACTATGACATTTTAAAGCCCCACAAAATGTTAATCCTGGCTAATAACTTTGAAGGAAGCAAAGCATCTTTAAACATTCCAAAGCCACAGAAAATCAGGCCAGTTATATTTCAATTGTGGAGAAAATTTAATGGTATTTTAAACTGTGAGATAGGATTTTTCCCCCATAAAACACAATATGTAATTATTTCTTTAAACAATGAATATCACAAACAAAAAATACTTATAATTTGTTTGTAATGAATCTGTAATGTTCTCTAGCCAAAAATATAGATACCCTGCATTGTGTAAGATAAAAAAAGAGAAATTTTCCAGAATCACTTTCATATAATCAATTAAAACTGAAGGCTTTCTGCATTTGAAAATTAATGGCTTTCAAGGAGGATGAAGAGCTACGATCCTTAAAGACACTGAGAGCATCCTGACGTCTGTAATGAAAGGGAACAGCTACTAATGTTAGTTCTTCAGTTATACAGATTTGTCACTGCAGCTGATTCTCAACATTTATACATGCACTATAAGTTACAGCTCTAGATAACATTACAATACCATCCAAAAGAAAATAAGGATATACAAAATATTTGATAAATAAAATTATTGCATTTTAATGTATTTTCATGAAAATCCAAATCATATTCCTTAATGTTGTACCAAACAATGCCAGTTCAAATTAAAGAAAATGTACGTCAACACTACCTGAAAACAAAATTAAGGAGGTATAAAGCCCCACTTAAACTTTGTTTAATTTGTGTCAAGTGATCATGGCAACAAAGACTATTAAAATTATCTTATAATTATGCACAATGAATGAAAGCATAATAGATAGCAGAGTACTTTTCTACCATAAAATTATTTACACCCACTTTATTCAGCTAGAAACACTAGCTTGAGAGGTACTGGTCTGGGATATTCCACTTGAAATAACTTCTCTACAGCAAACAATTGTCTTATATTTGGAACATGTTGAAGAAAATAATTGTCTCATCATTTCTGTGTTTTGAGTCTTGATTACTGACAGTTCAAGGTACTGTGGGAGAATCCTGGTGTCCTGGATGGCTCGATGAACACATTAAGATCAAGCAGTGTTTGTATTCTGAAAATCATCTCCAGTCCATACAACTGCTTGTTGTGTAGGCGGCAGGTCCCGGCTTCTCCTACTGGCACTGGGGTGTGGCGGGGGGCGTGTGTTAGGAGAGTTTCACCCCGATTTTGTTCTGCTCCTTCTTCATCAGCCGCTGCGCTTCCTTCTCCATTTTCTTTCTTTGCTGTTCTGCAGCTCTCTTTTCTCTGTCCGCAATTTTCTGCTGCCTGAAAAGAAACACATTTGCATCTTTACTTTCATAAAACACTGCACAGCTAAAATAGCAAATTAATTATAAAAAGGGTGCCTTCTTATAATCAAGAAATAAGTGTTTAATGTCTTTAATATTCTCATTTCTCTAAAAATTTCAAGGATTTTTCAATAGGAGTATTTCTGCTTATCCTTAGAAGACGACTTTACAAAAAGAAATGTTATCTTTCTGTATAGCTGAGGTGTGTGCAGTCACAGCACTAACGTCTCCAGAAAGAAGAACCCATATCTTCTTACTTTCCTCCTTCACCTCATTTCTACAAAAACTCTCTACTTCAGGGGGAAACTATCCAAAACAGTTTGATATTGTAGTTAATTCTCTCGTTATTAAATAGATTTTTAAAAATTAGCTAAAGGATGTTAGAAACACATTGCAAAGAGGAAAGGATTTCAGATGGATCAGAACCAAGGAATTTACAGATTAGCATTTGAGCAGCTCCATCCGCACACTAGCAGGAATTTATCAGTTTCACACTACGACTCTAGCTGGCTCTTAGCCCGGTATAACTCCAGGGACTAGAGATGACAGAAACACTCTGCTCAGTTGGCTTGTGTAGGAAGGGAGACTGGGCCTGGAACGATGACACAGGAGAGAGGGCGGGACCCGGGGTGGGATGTAAGAGAGTAACTCAGTACGGAGACTGAAGAGGGAACGCACGGTTACCACTGAGCATGGAGTAGGAAGACCTGGATCTATGCAGAACACTCCAGACTGGGGCTCTAAATTTGCATATGTACAACTTAAAGTTTATGAAAATGATGTTAATGCATAAATATTCATATGCATTCACACACCTCTGATTTTCAGTAACAATTATAAATACAAGGGGGCAGTTACAGATGACCAAAATTCCACAAAGGAGAAGAAATTCTTTGTGCCAACACTCCAACTTTCACTGTCAATTAACCACATTTAAAAAATGAAAGAAAACCGACTTTACATTAGCTCTTCTTAAGTCAAAGCATTAGCATTAAGAAGTAGGAAGGAAAATAGTTATAAAGGACTGGATAGGTTATAAGAAGATAAACTTTGACATGGTTCCTATCTAAAATGAAAATATCAGTAATGAACATTCCAGGCACAAGAAATAATTCAGATTACTGAAGGCAAATATATATTGCTTCAGTACTAGAGTAAAGACTCATTGAACTGATCACAGGGCTAGAGGATGGAGGGTGGCAATGAACACAGATCCACTTTCTCAACGCTCAGTGTCTTTCTAAAAGGGAGCAATGCCACAAGCCTCCATGTCCTCCTGTCCTCCGTGGCCCACACTTGTGCAGCACACAGCATGATTTTCGTCTTTCTAATAATTTCATTCAATTATATTGTCATTATAATGTAAAATATTCCTGTTTTCATTTTTGTTTTAAGGAACAAGACAGATGATGGAAAATGGAAAGTTTTAGAGTAACATTAAGATGCTCCGTTCACAGCTGAAGACTCTATAACAATGTCATTAAGATTATTAGAGTCAAATGAACAGCTCTTTCTTTTATCCTTGTGCCACATAAAAATAATATTAAAGCCCCTCAAATTTCCCAAAAATAGGTGATTTTTGAAACTATTATTTTTAAAATTCAGATAAAAATGTCTGCCTGATGATCCTTGCAACATCATTACTTTAGTTCACAATTTTAAAAACACCTTTTATTAAAGACTCATTTATACTGACCAAAGGAAAGCTAAATATGAAAAACTCTCACAACTTTAAAAATGTGATTCCCTCTAACATTTACAAAAAGGCATGCTGAATACACAATTAAAAAAAAAAAAAAAAAACAAAACAAAATGTCTATTTAACTGCACCCTCTGCTGGTTACTTAAGGTTACTATAAATTTACCATCAAAGACAAGAAAAGAACAAAAAACATAAAAATAAGTACAAGGAAAAAGTAATTCATTTTCTATCCATAGAGCAAAAACAATCATAATTTTAAAATTAAAATTCTATCACTATATTTTGCTATTTTTTTATATTTTATGTGCTTGTGCACGAGCCTGCATGTATGTATATTATGTGTATACAAGTACACACAGAGGCCAGAAGGAGAAACTGAATCCCCTGAAGCCTATATGAGTGCTGGGAACAGAACCTGGGTCTTCTGGAAGAGAAGCAAGTGTTCTTACTCACCAATCCATCTTCCAGACAGATTGACATGTGAGGCTGCATCCATGATAACACTCACAGTTCTGCTTATCACTCTTACCTTATTTTTTGACCCATCCTAGAAATACAAAAACTAGCCAGGTGGTGGCGGCACACGCCTTTAATCCCAGCACTCGGGGGGGGAGGCAGAGACAGGTGGATCTCTGTGAGTTTGAGGCCAGCCTGGTCTACAAAGCAAGTTCCAGGACAGTCAGGGCTACACAGAGAAACCCTGTCTCGAAAACAAAACAAAACAACAACAAAACACCAAACAAACAAACAAAAAAAGGAGTACAAGAACTAAGTTTATTACTCAATGAAATCTAGAATGACCATCGAACAAAAATGAACTTTAAAACTACAGAATAATATTTGCTTTTCTGTAGCACGGGTTGTTAATCTGACTTCCCTGTTTTATGATACTTTTGTGGACACTTAAGACACACGGAGACTTTAAGGGTACTTTATTAGCTACTTCTATTCAAATGTGAAGTTCAGACACTATATTAAACTGTGAAACAATAAAATCAAAATGACAACTTCTAATCTATCATGGTGGCTTACATTTCACAGAAGGAGATTGTGACTACCACTTGGTATGTATAGGCAAGTAATTTTTACCATTAAGGTTATTATTCATTGATTTAGACAGTGCTTTAAATCCATATAATGAGATATGATATCTGGAATTGAGAACATGTTCAATAAGAAACAAGTTCTATAAGGTTCACTGTGGAAAAATAGAGACAGGCAGACATTTGGCAGAGTAGGCTTTGCTGATCTTAAACACAAGAAATAAATTCAAGCATTGTACTCAAGGTGTCAGATAAATGTCATCTGCATACCTCAGAACTTCTTCTGCTTGCCAGGCCGCGTCTTCTTCTTCTTCCCAGGCATTGGTGTTTTCTTGCCAGGTATCTAAGTCACCTAGTTCTGACTACATTGGAAAACAAAAAGAAACTAAGATCTTAAAGAGCCGTCATTTCTCTACACAGTGGTTCAGTTTTAAAAAAAAAAAAAAGGAGCAGTTTTAAGTCTAAGCCAAACTGTACCATTCCCTACATCAGCCAAAAATGATCTAGCCTCTACTCTGCCGAGAACTGCAGGTTTCACAGTAATGGGGTGATGTGTGACTTTCCCAAGTGGTAAAAAATGTTCTGCACAACTGGTATAATAGTGGCCCGCCTCATGGAGCCGACCACTTCTGACTGCATCTAAGGTCTGCTCCACAGCAGGGAATTCACAGCTGGTGCTATAAACCTGGTCAACAGTCCATGGCTGGGGAGGACTTAGGCATGAGTAGGGAACAGGCGTGCTGTGCTCACTAAATGAACTTCTAAAGATTTACTGTTATGCCTATAAGCTGGTGCTTCTGTCAGCTTTAGTCAGAGAAGCTTCTTTTTCCGATCAGCTATGGTTTCTGTAGACTCCTAAGTGCTCAAAACGACCAGCATCAGTGACTGCTGAATGCTTAACTCTAAGAGGAAGCCTCTCAGACCTGCTAGCCAGGCTCAGAAAACACGTGGAAGGGGCAGGAGCAATGGGTAAAGCAAGGTGAAATGCAGCCCCTCTGAACTGGCACAGCAAGGGCACTCCAGTCCTCACAGGAGCTGTGACTAACTGCACAAGACTCGCCCATGAAGAACTCCTCTCAGCATCCCTTTTGCACCTGACAACCTACAAGCATTTACTGATAGCTGGAGGATGGGAGCAGGGCAGAAAGACATTTTCTTTAGTGGTGCAGACACTGGCAACTTTGTACTCTGAATTTATCTTAAATTACATCACAGCTTAAATGTAAACTTACACTGTGAGGAAAAGAATCCCTAAGTCAAAACTTACCTTAGTCATTTTAGAGATAACTCCTATAATTCTAACGTGTAAATATCATCAAATTTTGTCTCTGTCTTTTCTGTGTATAACGTTACCCTGACTAAGTGTCCAATATAATTTGTAATCTGATTCAATATTATGTTGATAAAGCTTTGGATGAAATTTTAAATTTGTTCAATTTCTTGAGAATTTTTCTCTTCTTAAAAAAAAAATAAAGAGAGAGAGAGAGAAGGAAAAAGACAAAAGCTGACCCTAGCTCGCATTGGCATACTTACTGACTGATGAATGAAAGGCATGTCTTGTGTAGCTGCCAATCTACTGGAAAAACCTGTGCTACCATCTGGGATACTAAAATTCAATGGTTCTCTCTTCTTAATGACAATCTGAAACATAAATTACAACAGGATTACAAGGATAATCTACACAAAACCACATAGAAATAATTGATCAATGTATTTGGTATTACTTAAATTGTGCTTGTTTTTCTTTATAATACACAATGAAGTAAGAGTTATTCTGTAAATAGTACCAAAATTCCCATGCAATTATAACATAAATCAGCTTCATAACAAGAAAACTTGTATCTCATTTAAAAAAAATCTTGTCTTTTCCTTCTCCCTGTTTTATGAGGGTTACTAAAATTTAATTTGGTATTTTAAATTACTAAATTAAATAATAACATATCTAATATGTTCTACCAAAAGTATACCTACCATCTTTAATATGTGGAATGGTATTAGAATATATTTACTTGAACCATTGTAAATTTCAGGAAAAGTACCTTTAATCTAAATTAATGTAATAAGGCATGATATAATATACTAAATCCCAGCAATATAGTTCCACAATATAAGATATACATCAACTGAGAAATTTGTTAAGTATCCTTCCTTACTGGAATATTTGAACACAGTTAAAAAAGAAAGAACGCATATGTGTAGCTGAAACTAAGAAAAAGACAGCAAGAAAATACATAAAAAGTGCTGAATAAAAAATACTTTCATGTTATATAAAATATATGTATCTACATATATACAAACATATTTATAGAATGTTTCTGTATTTGAATAAAAAGTACGAATTTCTGCAATAGAAGAGCAGAATGGACTAACATGACACTATTAGAAGGAGATGAAGCAGAACTAACTCCATTTATCACACTATGGTCTAAGTGGACAGTCTGCATGACTGGTGTCAGGAATAGCAGTATGTGATATACAAACAGCAGAAAAGTTATTCAATGGCTACTTTGGGAAGCAGAATTGGCTGAGTGATGAGACAAAGTCAGTCAGGGTTCATTATGAGCTCTCCAGTATTCTCCTATTTTGTCATTGTGCTCTTTCCAACACCTCTGCATCTCTACGCAAGCTCATCTCAACTCAAAAGGGAGTAATGCTAACAAACTCACAACTTTACAGTGCTATACCAAGGACTGGTTGCAAGAGCTGTACATGGTATATGATGGGAAATTATTAATATATAGATATCATCATACTTGGAACTTCTTAAAACTGCTAATTTTATTGGCTTAAGTTTCTCTTAGCAGAGACTAACACCTACTATCTGAGAGCCAATAGAATTTCTGGAAATACTTAGCTAACTTAGAAAACTTCGAAATATGCATTATTAGATCTGTTTTAGGTCATGTGAATACATAACATTTTTATTTAGTCTTAGAGAAAACAAAGTGATATACAGGCTTTCTAATGAACACAATTATACTCTCTAGTTTTACTGAGGATCTAGGAAGCATTCTAAACTCCAAAAGCATGAATCTTCCACGTACTTTCTGGGTTTTCCTGATCGTTGGTGTCATGTCCTTGAAATAGTCAGGTTCCAGCTGCTCCAAAGAGTTCTGTTGTGTTGCCACACTCCCATTCCCTCCTTCAATTTTGACACTGGTGGGTGCATCTTCATCCCAGGAAGTCCACTCCTCCACATCTGTCTAAATGTAATTGATTGAACTGTGAGACACAAAAGGACAACCTAACGATCACCTCGACCTTTATTAGAGAAACAGGCTTTCTGAGACACTGGTTTTAAAACTCTCTTGAGCCACAGACATATATGCAATTCAAACCACACTCCGAAACTACTTCAAGCAGGTGCTTTTGAAAACTGAGTTAGCATTACATGTACTGGACACATAGGGTAGACTGGAACTTTCCATTCAACCCTAACCAAACTAATCACCTGACTTAAAAAAAAAATGTATCAATATTTTCCACAAGACATGAGGGAAGTAAAAGTCAGAATGTGATAACAAACGCCCAAAAAACAAGCCAGAATTTTCAATATATCAGGAATCCGTGAATCTCAATTCACATGCAAAACTAATTACAAAATGACAACCCCACGATGATATAAATGTAGGATACATATAAAAATTTAAATACTAAATGTTTCATAAAAGTGGCAGGTACTTAAGTAGGGGAGAAATTAGATGTCAAGATAACACACACACACACAATATAAAGAACTGAATAAAAGTAAGCAAATGATAAGAAAATCACCAAGAATCCTGACCACCCAATCTTTCTGATGCAGTTTATCTAGTGTGAAAGCCGTGTTCTGGAGTACACCTCCATTACAGACTACCTGCTTAGGGACAGACGAGTAATCAACTGTGGTGGGCAAAGTTATTTGGTCTCCACTTAATTTCCTTCCTCTGCCAGATCTGAAAGAAACAAGATATATTTCAAGAAACACCCAGACAAGCATGCATGAGAACACATTTTAGATAATAATTTACTCAGAAAACGGGACTTTCCAACTTTATAATTATTGTTTTAAACAATAACTGCCCCAAAAGCTATGATGAAAAAGCATGACTCAGCAATCTTGCCAATGTTTCCCAAATCTTAGGCAATGTAGCTGCTTTTCGGTTAGGATTAGAATTATAGACAAACTTATAGGATTTGGGATGAACTGAACATCAAACACAAATGCAAGCCCCTCTGAGCCTTGTGCTCCCCCAGTGTCCTGGGTTCTGAAGATAAAGCTCTAAGCTACTAATCAGGAAGGCCTGGTTTTACATTTCATAGATTGCTTGGTAAAATTAAGTATTCAACTATTAAAAAGTTTGAAAATCAGGGGTTGGAGAGACGACTCAGCAGTTAAGAGCACTGATTGTGCTTCCAGAGGACCCAGGTTTAGTTCCCAACACTTACATGGCAGCTCACAATTGTCTACAACTCCAAGATCTGACACCTTCACACAGACATACATCCAGGGAAAACATCAATGCACATGGAATAAAATTAATTAAAAAAGGAAAATTTTGAAAATCAATTAGCCAAACTAAACCAATTGATTTCTAAGGATTTGTAGAGAAATACTACATTAATCAGGATATAATATCCTTCAGCTGTTAACATGAGCTAAAGAATCCACACTGACAAGACTATCAAAGCTTTTTTACTGATGCTAATGAGAATTAATTTATCAGCTATAGTATCCTCATCTGTCAACTGGATAGCCACACTTCTAAGGTTCTTTTAAGGCTTTAACTAAGAAATGTATTTAAAGCAGCTAGAATAACATTAGCTACATAGTGAGATATAAAAACACAGTAGCCACTAAACCCAGCAGTCTGGAACTCATTCCCTTAGAACAAAGGGGGTTATTTTAGGACAAATTCACAAGCTTTATTTTATTCACTTTATTTTTATTCACTTTTATAAAGACAAAACTATTACAGCCTATTATAAAATTTATTCCACAAGTATGGAATTTTACAGCACGTAATCCAGCTTCATTTTGACACCTAAGTTTACCCTAATAAAGAGCTGGTTTTCTTTACAACTGAATGTACGCAGTCCTAAACATGCTGACACTGACAACAGAAACTCACAGTGACAACAAACAAAGCCTTGATATGAAACCAAATATCATTTCTTATTCTAACACTAACCTACACTGACTAGACTTTTAGAAACTGCAGACACATGAAGACATCTACGCTCCAAGACAATGGTTGACGATGCCTTTGACTTCTGTCTGGTACTAGCATTTACTCCCATCCTGCTTTCCCTAGTAAATTTCTGGTCACTCTTTTTCATTCTCTGACTTGAACATTTTTTCACCAAATCCTCAAGGGTCAACCACTCCATTGCTTCCATGTGTTTTTTGACTTCTCATCTCCCAGTGACCTCTTCAACTCCACAGCATTTCATCAATATGCTAACTTCTGAACAGGCTCACCCTAGTACTGTGTGTACCTTCCTAAACTACCTTCTGAAGAGAGGGCTGATTACCACTTAACGTCAGCTTCCCTGCTACCCTACCTATCACTAAGCTTCTCTGGAAAACTTACTCCAAAAGACCTAACAGTCTAATAGTTCCTCTGATTGGTAGCTTTTGTTTGTTTGTTTGTTTGTTTTGAAACAGAGTCACTTTTTGCAGCTCTGACTCTCTCACAGAAATCCGCCTGCCTTTGCCTTCCAAATGCTGTGATTAAAGGCATGGACCATTCCTGATTAAGACTTAGGCCCAAACAACTCAGTACTTATAGATGTCCTAAGTTCTCTGTAGCCAATTGAAAATCTCAATACACATATACCTCTCTTTTCTTAACCCTCTCATGACCAAAAAGTTGAGAAAGGAGGAATGCAAACTTGAGGACAGCCTAAGCTACACAGAAATATAGAAGCCAGCCTGGGAAATAAATAGCAACATCTTGTTTCAAAACAAGAAAAGAAAAAAAAAGGCAGAAAATAAAAATTCTTATTTTTATTTGGAATAAAATACAAAGTTTTACTATTGAAATATATATGCCATTTGGACATTACATAGCCTCTGAAGCCTTCAATCACACTGAATACAGACACCCTCACTTTCTGCTCTACATTAATTTTGGTGGCATAATGACTTTCAATTACAACCTAAGAACGTAGCTTTGTAATGATATGTTACCAACAAAGCTATAGATCCCAGTGCTGCAAATATGAGCTGTCTGAATTTGGATTCCACCAGTGCTCAGCAGCTACTGACCACTGCAGCTCTGCTGGAAACTCTTAACCCTTAGAACACACTTCTGAATGTCACGGGGAGTCCTGAGGCACCTTGGACTTGAGAAGCCACAGCTAGAGTATGTCATGTGCTGAGACAGAAGGATTTGGAATCTAAGGAAAACCAAATGTAGCCAAACACTTTATTCTGGCCACACACTTATCTTTTTTATAGTTTCTTTGTTTAAAGTCTCAAAAGTCCATTTTTATTTTCTGAGTCCGTGTATATTGTATGTGTGCCTGTGCATCATGTGCACACCTGCTCTCTGCAGAGGCCAGAAGACGGCCCTGGATGCCCCGCAACTGGAGTTTAGAGATCTGTGAGCCACCATGTGGATGCTAGGAACCAAACCCAGGTTCTCTGCCCATGCAGCAAGAACTCTTAGCCGCTGCCATCACTCCAGCCCCTCTCTGTTGAAAGTTTTAAAAATAAATACAAAAATAGCATTTATATAGAAATATACATAGAAATACCTAAGCTTAACTTTGCCTAACCACTTCTAAACATTCCAATCATGAGAGAATACATATTAACTGTGATCACAGTACTATTTAACCTTGGTCTGCTTCTTTCCAAAGTTTTACAGGACTAATTACTTAATATATTTAAATGGAAGATGTGAACATCTGAAAGAAAAAAAACAACTGATATCCTTTCTAGATCTGCAAAAATGTTTTGAAAAAGCATAGAGATTAATGCGTACTTTAAGCAGGACAGCTAGTTTAAATACGATATCCATGTCTTTTGAAGTTAGGAAGTAATCTTCACCAATGAAGAGACAAATAGGTCAGTGTAAACACAGAAATCATTTACCTGCATATTAGTCTCTTTAGGAATGAGAACACTGTCGCTAGGCAGGTACAAACTTTAAATAACCGAAACTGAGTGATGGCCATGGCGAGAACCAAAACCTGTGGGAAAAGGAAAGACACGCACACAGAAACAATATATTAGACACGTTGCTGAAGCCATGCTCTTCTTTTGAATTCAAACTAAAAAGTCCTTATGCACTAAGAGAAATCTGACATCTTCACTTTCTCTAAAAGGTACAAATATAACATTCAATTCCAACACAATGTAAGTCATTTTATAGTTGTGAGGAAGAATACTCTTCACCTCAGTCTCTAAACTAGTACAAATTTACTTACAATTTAAAAGCTCAAAAAAGGGCAGCATAGTATATATTAAACCTTTCTATACCTTTTAAAATTTGATTCACCTCAACATAGCACTATGAAAAATATTTTCAACATTTTAACCTTAAGATACTCTTATTATTTCACAGATGGCGAAACTGAACTGAGTCAAGTCAGCTAACATGTTCTAAGCATAGCTAGTAAGTTCAGACAAAGGCTAAAACCCATCTAGTTCAGATCTGCAAACTTAGTGATCTGTTCAAAGAAACAGTGATGCTTGGGCCTGCACTTAGTAAATCTATTAATCTAGTCTCTGAGGAATAAGGACAAATCATACCCAACAGTAACATGCAGGTTTTTAAAGATAGCTCATAATGAAGTTTCCTCAACTAAATGAAGTATTACATTAGTAGGTTAAAAATTAAATAATAAGAAACATTTGCCTCTCATGATGCAGAGGCATTAGGAAGCTAAGATCTGTAAATTAACCTGAGTGGTAAAACAGGCCTTGCTTTGTCACATATATTATTTATATATTATACCGCAATATAAAAGCTCAATACACACAGCCAAATCGTAAAGAAAAGGAAAGAAGAAAACAAGAAAGCAAGGAAAACACACTAACTGTCATGGCCCTGAGCTTGACTGCTCTGTAGTCAGTAACTGGCAGCTCCTTCTGAAGAAGCACAGCTAGTCCTTTCAGGTTCTAGGGTTAACAGTAGAACGCAGACTACTAAAGGTACAACGGAAAAGTTCTACAAGGTTCCCTTAGCAATGCCCATGTACTTCTGTGCATATGAAGGCTGCCTATCTTAACTGAATGGCCTACTCAATGTCCAAGGCTGGAGGTGGCTCACTACTGAGCAAGGGCAAAGAACAGTGATGCTAAACAGAAGGGAACCAAGAGCACATTACCAATCTCCTTCTTCAAGTACTACACACACACACACACACACACACACACACACACACAATTTATGACAAATATCCCCAAGGTGGTGTAGTTGGTTTCAAAAACTGCAACAAAGCTGACTCCTTTTTCTCAACGAATCTCAGAGATGCCAATGGCTTACAAGCATTATTTGGTTTCCCAAAGTTGTCCATATTGTTTCCTACCCTCTTGGTGGAATAGTCTTCTTAGCCTGTGTTTTTCCACTGAAAAACTTCACATTTTTGTACTTCACAGCATAATAATATCTATATACTACCTATGTGCCCTACCCAATACTTCTCTGGTACGTTGTTATCATTTGCAAAATAAAATTTGAAAGAAATATTTGATGCGTCATTATAAGTAGAATGAACAGAATAAAATGGTGAATTAAAGCTTCATTAAAGTTGATTGGTCAAAAGTACCTGTCAACAAATAGAAAAGCAAACTTCCCAAAGAGAAGTTTGAGTAAGCATTAGTGCCCTGCACAGGAAATGGATGGAATAAAGACCATATTGCTGAGCAAAAGAAGCTAGTCAGAAAGACAAAGACAGCATTTTCCCCAACGTTTGTACAAGCTAGATTTCCAAATCAGGAAGATATGAAAATAGATGTGGTACTATTTGTAAGAAGATGGGGGCCAGAAGAACAATAGTAATGGGGGCAAGGGGTAAAACAAACTGCATTACATAAAGAATGAAATATAATGGAGCCCAGTAATTTATACAGTCAATATACATTAACAAAAATTCAGGGTAAATTTTAAAAAATATAATAAAGGCAGCAGTGGCGCACACCTTTAATCCCAGCACTCAGGAGGCAGAGGCAGGTGGATCTCTGTGAGTTCGAGGCCAGCCTCATCTACAAGAGCTACTTCCAGGACAGGCTCCAAAGCTACAGAGAAACCCTGTATCAAATAAATAAATAAATAAATTTTCGGAAAAATTATTTAAAAGGTAGCTTTATAGCTCAATGGCATACATCACTAGGAAAGGACATACAGCAAAGAGATACTCCTGCAAGATTTTTTTGGGAAAAAAGACATTTACTATTTTTGTACTGTGACAGGGTGCTGCCTTAGGCTGAGAACAAACTTCATTCAGTCTTGAGGAGCTACACTTCTCATACATCCAAAATGTCACTACTCAGTAATACCCGTCACCTTGAATGACTCCAACAAAGAGTAGAAATAAGATTTCAAGTTTAAGTGAAAAACCAGAAAGTCGAATGGTTACTGATTACAGAACAGAATTCCCTCTTAACAGCAGCATTCCGATTCTGTGAGAAATCTGCTTCTGTAATTAATGAAAGAGACCTACAATCCACTAAGCATTGTGAACCAAGCACCACCTAAATACTAGCTAGCTGAACCCACAGAACTTCTTTCTAGTGAACAGATATTTTCCTCATCTAGTAGACAGAAACAGAATGAGCACATTTCCACATTCAAACCTACATCGATTTAATTTGAAAACCAAGAACAAACTAGTCTCAAACATCCTCATGAATCTGGGGAGATATAAGTTCCAGGATAAAATTTCCAACCAGTTTCACTAAAATGGGGAAAATGTACCTAAGCTATTAAGTAACACTTTATCAATGACACTGACTCGTAGACAAATCTTACTCAGGACTTGTACATAACGCTGCAACTAGAAAGGGGTGAATAGATATTGGCGCACACTCTGTAACATATGCTACACTCTTAAGTAGAAAATATTTCCCTGCACAGAGAAACCCTCTTTGCTACTCGGTGGTCTTGAGTCTTTCTACATCTACTTTATTCAAAAGAAAAAGCCTAGAAAGGTAGGACCCTTCCAGTGTGCCTCAGTTTCTTATCTCTAAATCTTAGGCAGCGCCAGCATTTATGCGCTCAAATATTTCCTGAATGAAAAGGAACCAGCATTCCTTGGGCCATAACATGTTCGGGATGTAGTCCAAATGTTTCACCACTCCCAGGTAACAGATGAGGGCCGTAACTGGCCTGAGTAATTTAGACAGGTTAAAACAGGATTAATTGGAAGAGATCCCAAGGTCTGACTCTCCCTACATATTCCGTTTGAAATTAGTTTGATCGTATACATATCGCTACAGTCTGGTTTCTAAAATACCCTATCAACTAGAAAAATATTTGGGTCTACTTTGTAATTTGGGTGCTTCAAAATGCTTTCTAGAACCAGGCAATATTGAAATAGCCTACTACCAAAATACATGAATTAAAAAAAACAGTCCTTATAATGACTAACAAAATTCCGAAACTTTATATATGACAGAGGAAGAATTTTGGGGAAAAAAATGACATCTCCGATCAAGCAAGTAGGATGAGATGTCTGTTGTGTCAACTGAGAAAGATCTCTCTACAGCCGGGGTGGAAAGCATAAAGAAAAAGAATCCTGCATGAAGTCAGTCCCGCCTTGCGCTCACTGATCACATGCTGGAGTAAAGATCCAGCCTACAATTCATTACGCCAAGTAGCGATACCCTCTCAACGCGTCACTAAGTGCTGTACTTCACAACCCGAGCCTTTTCATACAAACACTCCAAAGTCCTACGATCTACAGCAGCACAGAACAGACTCAAAGGAAGTCCCGAACTCGCTAAAGTTAAAAATCCCCAAGGTTCCAATGAAAATCCCCCTGCTCCCACACAGGAAAAACGACGGGTCACCAGCAGAGGCAAGTAAGCAGAACCAGCAGCGCTGTTTTGGCAAGCTGGAAGGAAAAACCGTCTCTGTACCATCGGGCCTTCGCATGTGACCCCGCTGGGGCAGCCATCTAGGTGGGCCGTCTCCTGAAATGACTCCGCGGAGAGTTTCCTAACTGAAGTCATTTTCACTTTCGCGTGACCCACCTAGAATCTGGCCGACGGGGGAAAAAAAAAAAAAAACCGAAAATCATACCCACTGCACAGATGAGCAAAACAACACGCGAGCTTTCTGGTTACGCAATCCCACGCCCGGCGGCGGGAGTCATGCTAGGCGCTCTACACTGCTGGAGGTGGGAGCCAGCCGGGTGGGCTGGGGTTCCGAGGTTGGGGACATCGGGCCCCGGAGGTGCGAGGCCCGGAGAGGGAGGACAGGAAGGAGGCACATTGCCCTTGGGGAAGACTCAACACGGGGCTTTTCCGGGTCGGCAGCGCACAGGCCGGCGTCCCAGGCGGTGCGCGTGGCATGGCGAGGGCACACGGGCTCAGCCGGTTCCTAGCCACGCCGGGCTCGCCCCACGGGTCACCCTGACCCGGAAACAGTCCCCCCCCCCAGGGTGGCCCGGCGTGGAGGAGGTCGCGGGAAGAGGGCCGAAGAGGAAGGCAGGAGGGCAGGAGGACGACCCAGAGGGGGACCGCGGGTGGAAAGGAGGCGGGTGGGGTCGAGCCAAGCCCCCACTCGCGGGCGGGCGGGCGCGCGCAGGCCGCACACACTCACCTGCCCCTCCCCCTGCCCGCCCGCCCGGCGGAGGCTCCGATCCGCCGCGGGCCGCGCGCGCGCGGGCGCGCACGCGCACACACACACACACGCGCTCGGCCGGCCTGCGCGCGGGCGCGCGGGCGCGCACACGGTTTCCCCCGAGCTCGCGCTCGGCCGGCTCAGCCCCAGCTCCGCTCATTCAAAGCCGGGCGCGCGCTCCGCCGCAGCCGCCGTTGCCGCCGCGCAGCCGCCATGGCCGCCCCTTCGCCAGAAAGCCCGCCCCGGACCCCGGATCCGCCCAGGCTCCGCCCTACTCCCCGCCCAGGCCCCGCCTCCCCGCCCAGACCCCGCCTTAGTCCCCGCCTCCAAGGCGGAGCTACGTGCTGTCTCCAGGCTCTCCCTTCCGTACCCCGCCCCAGGTCTCTTCTGGCCCAATAAGGGGATAGGCTGCTTCTTTGACGTACAATCCTCAAGCCAATGGGCGTAGAGGGCGTGGCTAGCGCAGCAGCGGTGAGGAAGCTTGAGCTTTGGCCTTTTGGTGTTGATAGCGGTAGTTGTTGGTTTCCCTGATTTATTCATTTATTTATTTATTTTGGTCGTGGAGCGATTGGGTTTGTGCCAAGTTTCCTCCTTCCCTCTAGTATAGATGAGTGTCGCACCCGTGACCTATCCCCTTTCTGCTCCATCCGTAAAAACCTGCCCGCCAGATGGGGCCAAGGGGAAGCTGCGTCTACATTAGGAAGCATTGGAGGAGCTTCTAGAACGGACTAGGACAGAGCCCAGTTATTGCAGCACCTGAGACGTTTACTAACCTCTTCCAGGATTTAGCCCGCTCGACTAAAATCTTAGTTCAGTTTTTAACTAGAAGTAAAGGAGCATTTCCTCTAAGTTCCTCGTTACATCCTGGCCTGCATCAAGGCTAGGCATTTTACTAAGCTCCTGTTCTTTTGTGGTTCTCTCGGAATAGGATATTTTTATGTTGTTTATTTTTGTTTTGTTTTTACTTTTTATTGTACATATTACTGTGTCCCATAAAAATGCTTTCACATGAGGATACACTGTATCTTGAACCCCCACTACACCATCCCCTTTTTTTCTTCTACCTCTCATAGACTCTTGTTCCCCTAGAGTCTACAGCCTAGACAGTTTTCTTGTACTTCTTTATGAGTTCCCATGCTGTCTTCTATCTTGTATGCTAGTAAACCCTAGAGCAACTGTTCTCAAGTCGTGGGTGCGAGCCTTTTAAGGCTTGAACAACCCTTAATAGTACAAAATTATAATTATGAATAGCAACAAAAATGATTTTATGGTTGGGGTCACCTCAACATGGGCTGTATTAAAGAGTCACAGCATTTGAAAGGTTGAGAACCACTTAGAGTTTATGACTGTATTGGACTAGGAACCCTTAAGCTACTGTTGGAAAGTGGCTGGTGTGTGTGTGTGTGTGTGTGTGTGTGTGTGTGTGTGTGTGTGATAGATCCAAAAGCTGAAAACAGTTTTTTTCAAATTGTTTCTCAACTAATCTTTTTCTTCATATACCAAGATCTCCTGAGTAAATTGGGAGTGTGGGGGTCACGAGATAGGGTAGAAGGAAATGGGGAGGAAGAGAGAGGAGCAGAGAAAAGTGTATAGCTCAATAAAAACAATTTTAAAAAGACTTGGGAAAAAAGTGACAACTGCCTTTGTTCTCCCACCATGGTTCATCTGCTATCTGTCACTTAACTTCCAGCATTCTGCCCACCCTCCTCCCTGCAATCTGCTCCACACTTTTATTAGTAATTTCGTGTGTTTTCTTTGTTTGTTTGTTTGTTTTTTGTTTTTCGAGACAGGTTTTCTCTGTATAACAGGCCTACATGTCCTGGAACTAGCTCTTGTAGACCAGACTGGCATCAGACTCACAGAGATCCTCCTGCCTCTGCCTCTCAAGTGCTGGGATTAATGGCATTCACCACCACCATCCAGCATATTTTATTATCTTTATCTGTCTTTGAGAGTCTTGCTGGTCTTGAACTTAAGCCCCTCCTGCCTCAGCCTCCAAGGTATTCTGGAATGACTAACATGTACCACTAATTCAAACCAACAATTTAGTATGCTTGCCCTGCAAGGAGGAAGAAAGTGAATTTAGTATTCTGGGTAAACACAGGTGCATTATTTGATCTCTTAATCTGGGTTTCCTTTTAAGTGAATTTACTGCTTACAAAACTTTTTGTGAAGCCAAGCAATCATAGATTATAGCCATTCAACACTTAACCACTTTAAAGAAGTCCCCTGCAGTCTGCTAAACAGGTATCCTAACTGTAATCTCTTTTATCGTACAAATTCCAATAATCTATCATTTCCAATACTTTTTGAATTTCCAAAATTCAATAATTCTAACATGAGATTTTTTTTTTTTCAAAATAGAGTTTCCCTGTGTAGCCCCAATAGATCAGGTTGGCCTTGAACTCAGAGATCCCTCTGCCTTTGCCTCCCAAGTGCTGGGACTAAAGGTATGCACCACCACTAGGCTGTTTTATCTTTTTAAGTTTATTTCTTACACCTTTGTTACAAATTACTTATTATATCCCATGTTAATTTCTTCCTTTTCATGATTTTTTTTCTCTTTTAATTTGTCACTTCCGATTAAAAGGAAGGAGGGCAGACACTTCTGTAGAAAACCTGGTGACTGGGTACATCCTTGCTTCACAACATAGAGCGATAGAAAAGCAATGGTACTGGCTGGCTAGTTTTATGTCAATTTGACATGAGTTAGGATTATCAAAGAGGGCGCCTCAATTTCATTGAGTATAAAAATGACATAATAAGATAGGACTGTTGCCAAGTTCATGGGGGCATTCTCCTAATTAATGATTCTGTGAAAAGACTCAACAGATCGTAGGTGGGGCCACCTCTGGACTGGTGGCTCTAACTTTTATAAGAAAGCAGGTTAGCCAGTAAGCAGCATTCCTCCATAACATTTGCATCAGCTCCTGCCTCTAGGTCCCTGCCTGTTTTTAGTTCCTGTCGTTGTTTCCGACAGTGACGATGGGCGATTTGAACACAAGCCCAATAAGCTTGTTCCTCCCAGAGCTGCTTTGGTCATAGTGTTTCATCATGGCAATGAGAACCCTAACCAAGACAACCAAACAAAAGATTGAAAACTGAATTTCCTTTTAAAATGTCAATAAGAGAATATTTTAAATCTTCTTGGTTATCCCACAGGTCAGCACTTCAGGATCCCTCCTGGAATATGGGTGTGAGTTCAAGCAAGTCTGGGGAATGAAGACACGCCTCACCTTTAGGATATCTCTAGCCTTTCTCTACCTGGGGGAATCAGCCTCCGTCTGGACTGAGACACCTTAACTTAGCCAAGGGTGTTTTTTACAGTTTTCCATATTTGCACTTAAGCAAGTTGACGTCCATAGTCTCAAAACAACCTGACTAGGCTGCCAAATGCAAATACCCGATTCAGAAATATCACAGTTTGCAGGATTTTTCCAAATAAGTTTCTTTTTCTTTTCTTTCTTTCTTTTTTTTTTTTTTTTTTTTGTTTTTGTTTTTGTTTTTCATTTTTCGAGACAGGGTTCTCTGTAGCTTTGGAGCTTGTCCTGGAACTAGCTCTTGTAGACCAAGCTGGCCTTGAACTCACAAAGATCTGCCTGCCTCTCCCTCCCAAGTGCTGCAATTAAAGGCGTGCACCAACACCGCCCCGCCCCAAATAAGTTTTTCCGTGTGTTTTGTACCCTTGGAAAACTCTCAGAGAAAATTCACATAGAGGGCAGCAAGAGAAAAAAAAGTAATGGAGAAACAAAGGACTTATTAGGGCTAAATCTTAGCACTTTGGAGCCAGACCCTCAATTAGAGAGCACTTTTAAGTATGCAACTTCAAGTCTTGTCCTGGGGCAGGGGAGGATAATGTAAAGTAGGAAGAACAAAAGAGATTTTCAGATTCTTGGTGGAAAGGGCAATAAAACAGCCCACTAAAATTACCATAAGAAAACACTCAATAGGGTAACTGTTACTAATTGTAACTTTTCCTGATTGTAACTGTTACTGATTTGTAACTTTTCCTGATTGTAACTGTTACTGATTTGTAACTTTTCCTGATTGTAACTGTTACTGATTTGTAACTTTTCCTGATTGTAACTGTTACTGATTTGTAACTTTTCCTGATTGTAACTGTTACTGATTGTAACTTTTCCTGATTGTAACTGTTCCTGATAGTAATTGTAGGTGAATGGCATTTTCTATATTGCCTTTCTCGGTGGGGTCTAGTTCATCCTGCCTGTTCTGTGCATAAAATATTTGCCCATTTTAAAGCTACTGACAGTCCTCCTTTTCATTTAATTCAGGCTCCCTTTGGGAGGGTCTTCATTGTTTAGGTTCTCCAGCTGTAGCTTAGTCTTCTGCACTAACCCTGTTCAGTGGTTGACCAATTTCTGGCTTTTCACCAAAGGATACCTCTTTTTTTTTGTTCTTTTTTTGTTGTTGTTGTTCTTTTGTTTTTTTTTTTTTGTTTTTGTTTTTCAATTTAAACCAACTAATGAAACTTGAATGTTAATAAAGTTTTATTAATGAGCAGCTGTTCACAGTTGGATGCAGATTATGAAGTCACATCCATTTCCTGATCAGGCAAGACAGAAGACTTGCAGCTCATAGCACTGAGTGAGAGTGCGAACAGACGTTTGAAAGCAAAGACTTTTTGATAATTTTAGTAGATTGTTTTTATTGGCCTGGCTACTACAGAATTTTACTTGCTTTCAAAATAATTAACGTCAATATTCTGGAAATTTAAATGCTTTTAAATATCTAAAATCACTATGTCTTAGAGATCAGCTAGTCTGGGTCCTGCTTGGTGGGTTTAGACACAAGGTTTACGGGTTGCTACAGGATTGTTTGGTGGCTTAGTGGTTAGGAACTTTTAGCAGTAGTGTGAGAGAAGCTATCTGTAGTTGTCTGTTTTTTGCTTTTATTCTTTTTATTCTTTGGGGCTGTTTGCTCTTTTGTTCTTTGAGGGGCCCACCACCCAGCTCCCAAATAAATCACACAGAGGTTTATTCTTTCTTATAAATTTCTGGCCTTAGCTTGGCTTGTTTCTTGCCAGCTTTTTTTTTTTTTTAACTTAACTACCTTTTACTTATGGGCTTTTTCTTTTCTTACTTCTGTATATCTTACTTTCACTCTTACTCCATGGCTTGCTGTGTGGCTAATCACTGACTCCTCTCCTTGTTCTCTTCTTGCTCCTCCCCCTTCCAGATTTTTCCTTCTATGTATTCTCCTCT